TCAAGAGAGGTTAGAGATGGGTTTTACAAACGAACATTAAACTTTGATCTCGGACATCCTGGTAGTTGCCACGAATCCACCATTTCAAAGAACTTATGTCATATGTAAACTTGAAAAGTAGGATTCAGTAAACAATCAGTCATCTACAACGTAGGACCAGTCACATATGTGCATCGGTCCGAGTTGCTACATCTCATTAGCACAGAAAGATGAACACCAAATTCATAATAGTTACTTCAATGGTAGTAATAAATAAAAGACAGGTTTGCATATTCCAAATCGATAAGTGGACCTCCTGGTATGAGATCAGTTCCTGAAAATTCATTCGATGAGAATGTTATTTCCAGCAGTAGGTCTGTGATGAAACCAAACAGAAATGGAGGTAATGGACAGCCAGCCGAACTCCTCCTTAACGTGATCTGCCCATAGTTCTAAACGTCTGTACTGAGAGTAGATAAGAGTGCCATCGTTTTATGAGATTGTCTCACTTACACTTGTCTTCTTAATTCCGGTTTCTTTTATTATTCTGAAAAACCGTCTTGTGTTACCTAAAGCCGCTGCCTTTTCCATCTCTTTCGCTTTCTTTGCCCACTACTACTCACAGTCGTTCCTTAGACTTTTAGTTAATCCAGATCTGATTTCCTTCCTCTCTTCATCGTGTTCAGAGCCTGATGGGATGAGTTTACGAGAATCTATCAGTGCAATAGACTTAGTAGAAATCTATTGGCATTTTGTAACCCTTTGGTTCAAATCACTAATAGATATCGCTGATTTTTCAACAGCTATTCGTATATCTTCCCAAGCAACATATGAGTCAGATTCGTTTTCAGAACTGCCTAAGTTTCACATCAGTTGTTCCTGAAATCTGCTTTTGGCTTTCTCGTCACTGAGTTAAACTTTAATGGGTCCCCTTAATGTGGCTTTTCTGCACCCAGTAAGGCGCAAGCAAATGCATGCTTGTATTAGAGCACGATTAGAGTCTAAACATGTACTCCAGAACGAGCAGTTGTTAAAAATAAACGATCGTCTAAGCACAGTTGCAACAGACGCTCACCATTATCTGTTCGTTGAGTCGGAATACTAAAATGCCCACCTAAATGTCATTGTTTGGTTTAAGCTACCTACTTGAACATCAATGTCACCTGCGACAAGTACTATGTCTAAGGGTTTAGCTTTTTGAAGAAGTTCAGGAAGCCTTCTGTAACATTCATCTTTCATCGGCTGCAGTCAATGGGAGCGTAAGCAGAAACGACGAAGAGACAACGACATGTGTTCCTACCCTTCTGAGTTCTTGTAGAGCCGTTTAGACGAAAAACACATAGGCGACTGTTAACCGGGATCCATTCCAATAGTGCTTGTTCTGCCCTTGTACTTAGTGCTGTACCTACACCCGCCGGTCCACGACAACTAGGCATCGGGTCGCTAGATAAACAGAGCGTGTATCGTTTCGGCGAGGTGAGGTCAAGTGAATTAACACACTAGGATCATTTATGCGTGTTTCGGAGACACAACATACATCAATGGTACGAGATCCTAGGGTTTTAGCCAAAGAGACCTGATGGCTGATTTGACATAGGATGTGTACTTTGAAGGCTCCAATGTGTAGTTTGCAGCGAGGCTTCAGAAGACCTGGGACAGTGTTTTGTGCACTATAATAGTTGGCCATAGTGGCACTAAAGGAGGAAGTTTAGAGTTAAAAGTCAAAGTAGGAGGAGTAATAGGAATTGAAGAGGGAGATTTATTATAAATACAGAGATCTTGAGTGCTGCTAGATGTTAGGAGTGCGATTATCACTTCCAGGTTGCTCACATCGTGGAATGGTTCTTCTAAGGGTACCTAAAAAGAAAATCGGTTTCGAGTTAGTATTAGTGACCGCAATGCCCAAGGGACAACTACTTGAGGCCGGTCACACACTTTTTTGTGAGTAATTTTCGCGTTAGCTCCGTACTTGATGGGACCGTACCGCCGGAGAGGGAAATCCGTGTGATAAAGCGAGGTGTACATTTTTAGGGTCGACCTTTTCTAACCTTACCCTCCTGCACCGGAAGGCAGCATCGCTGTTATGCTGGTTGTATCAAGGAAACACTCTAATGCCATCATACATCTGTACAGTTAGAAGTACGACTTTCGCCCTCGGACCTTGAGTTTGCTGCTTTTAGTCTTATATCACTTCAACCGACCTGTCTGGCATGTTAGAACCTTGAGCAACGACTGGTTCATTACGATAGGCAAGCCTGACCATCATGTCAAGGTGGCAGCATATTCTAGATGATTTAATATCGTATAGAAATCAAGAGCTGGTCAATGTTAGACCACTGTTGAAAACATGGAAGCACTGGACGACCGTTTTGTTGTAGCATATGTCTCGTCAACACAATGCGTCCACACACCCTCAACCAGGAATCCAATAAACAAACTTCGGTCTCACTCGAACACTTAACCTCCAGACAATTGAGTTGGCATCCAACGTTTTTAATGTGTAACCTCAACCAATCCAAAATATTGTGTTACCATCTTTTATTGCCTTACACCCGACACGATTTAGCTCCACTCATCACTTCTCATTAGAACACAGGGAATTTCCTCTCGAAGTTGATCACTAGTAAGCACATGATAGCTGTGTAAAGTTATATAGTGACGAATTTCACTGAGATCACAAAGTAAAACCAAATGTTCCTGATTCCCGATAGCAGGATTATAGACACACACTGCTAACGAGTTTCACACTAAGACAAAACTGGTGTCTAGTGCTTCCATATTTTCAGTAGCATTCTAACTTCGATCGATCCGTAATCTACCCAACCCTATATTGACAATTCGATATTGGATCATTACATCTTGGAGAAAAAATGCTGTTTCGAGAATGTACTATTTAACAATATCCATTGGTAGTTTTCAACAACCAAAAGCAAGGAACTTTTGAATTAAACAATACAGTTGTGAATCTATTGCAAAACTAAACCAACTTCTCATTTACATACTAATCATTTTGTATTTTCATGGTTTAACACAAAATAAAATCTAGATAATTTAGTATCCAACAGAAAGATGTGTGAAAAAATTTCTTATATTTGGTATACAGAGATCTATATTAACTTTGACCTCATCGTACATGCAATAAAAACGACCTCAAAACAAAATTACAAACGCATTCATTCGTCTCCATCTAAACAGGAATGAATAAATGAATAGACAAGCAACAGACATACATTATAAATTGAATATGACATCATTTATAATTTAGATTAATCACACATACAAATAAAAACTCTAGACGATCGGATAAATTCTAGGTCAAGGTAAACATTTACACACATACACAGTGGGAGGGACATGAATAATTAAATTAAAATAAGCCTAATAGAAAGGAAAGAACAAATACGACTGACGATGCATTCATGTTATTATAACAGCCATGACCTTTCACGGTATAGGTACACACACAAACATATACGTGTATGGGTGACAATACTTACCGTTGAGTAACAAGGACAATTTAAACAAGTGCAAATTATAACTAGTTTTTATTTTTCTAGCTTTCAGATGAAACTGAACTATAACATCGAGCCAGTTTGAGATCATAGTCCAAATATAATATGGAGTTGGGGTTTTCATCAAAAATTAATACAATCTGTAATATTGGAATACTTTGTAACGATATGTATGAAAGAATATCGTGATAAGACGAAATATTCAATAGTCTTTGGTATTTTCAGTTTGGTCAAGTGGACAGGCAGCTCTAGATCATCTAGCGGTACAGTTCAACTTGACGAAGGATGAAAAGATAAAACCTAGAGAACAGTATATACATAACTCACGAAAAATGGACAGTAGAATTGATGATGAAAATAAATGTCACCAAATTAAATAATTCATAGCGGAGATTGTTGGATTTCACTAAAATCATGAATCCATCAATGCTTAACGACCATTGGGAACCTGGAAGCACTGGACGAACGTTTCGCCCCAGTATGGAACTCCTCAGCACCAGGTATCCACATACATTCAACCAGGAATCAAACAAACTAACTTCGGTCTCACGCTAACACTTAACCTCCAGACCTCTCACCCGATACGGTTCAGCTTCAATGGTCGCAGTTTTTTACTAGAACTCCGAGAATTCCCTGCCGAAGTCAATCACTAATGAGCACATGATAATTCCCGGTATAAGTCAGGTAACAGATAAAAATCTGTTGCTCTACGGTGCTAAGTTTGTTTATCTAGTTTTCTATTTTATTCAAACAGAACTGACGAAAATGCTTAATTCGAAATTGTTCTTCTACATTGAATAATCTTTTTGACTTACATTTTTCGAATACTTTTTAAACAGTGAATGATGGAAGACAATCACTGCCGTTACCTATGAGGTACAGAGGTCAGCTGTTATTAAACTATGATTGGCTTAATACAAAATCATTTTCAATTAATCAAATAATCTACCATGCATTTTCTTATTGTAAAAGACTAGTTTCTCATTAGCGATAACTCTAGATTATTTCAAAAGTTTCACTTGTAATGACTATAATGTAAGATATAAAGTAACTCGATTTGTGAAACACATTGAAACATGATTGAATTCGGAGCATAGTTACAATAAAAAATTACGATTAGTTACTTTAATTTGAACTCTAAGACTGTCGCCAGTATCATAACTGTAATTGTAGTTTCAATTGAATATATGTCATTATTTAGACAGAATTAAACTTGGTCGATTGTCAACTGATAGACAACGAACACAAATGGTGCGGAAAAGTAATTTTGGACTTTAAAATGAAAATTTCTTAAAGTTACTGTATAATGAAAATCAAATGATACAAGTATGCTGAATTGGAGAGAAACTGATGCCTATCTAAGTAACAAGTTATTTTCGACCACGAACATTTACATGAATAAAACCATTAGCCATGAAACATAACAACAAAGGTAACTATACATTGACAGAAAACAGTGTCAATGACGAATATATATATATATATATATATATATATATATATATATATAGAGAGAGAGAGAGAGAGAGAGAGAATAGAGTAATACACTGATGCAAAAGTTATTCGATATTTCTTAGAAATAAAGTATAGTACAACCTAATAGACAATTTTAAATTTCTTTATCAACGTTATATTTATTATCAGGTTGAAAAGGAACATAGTTAACTGAAACTAGGTTAATATATTTATATATGAGCCAAAATGACTTGTCGTACGTATGTATAAGAGTTTTCAAGTAATAGAACAAAAAATATTTAATAAAACATCGGGCTAAAATAATTACAAACACTGGATAATATTCATTATTATTATTATCATCAACTGCCGCCCCTACTGATTAAAAAGAGATCTGAAAACAAGCAAACAAATCGCTAACAGTCCACTACGCATTAGATATACATAAATTTAAAAAAGGTGAAAGTTCCGTAATGATAACAAAAAAAGATGACCAGAACACGTAAAGATTCTTTTAAAAGTACAGTGAACAATGACCAAAACCATCATTAACATCTCTATAGAAAAAAAAGATAAAACCCAACAAAAAATGAATATAGAATCGTCATGGTAGTTGATTCCCAACTAAAAATGCTGAATTTCAACAGGAAAACTTTATAATAATTAATGAATGGGTTATAAATCATACGTGTATATATATATCATACAGAAACCCATGTGAAACAGACCACCACTAACCGGATAGTTGTTAAAGATAAAATTAGCATACATTATTAGTAACAACAATGATGATAATAATAATAATAGTGACGATATTCAGTAGCATACAAAAAACCCAGTGGAAAATTACGGCGCTCACTAATGAGGAAACAAAACAAAAGAATTTCCTTAAAAAAGAGACAATTTTCAATCAACCATTTAAACATGTACACCTGCTAACAAATATAACGATGAAGGTGATGTTGTCGATAATGGACAGGATAAACGGATACAATTGTGTTCTTGTTAAAAACTAAACTATTGTGCAAGACATTATTCTCAAATGAGGAAGTATGATACAAATAAAATGACAATGACAGTAACAATAAGGACAAGAACTATTGGTCAGAACATCATTACTGACATAAAATGAAGTAAATAAAGTACCTGGTGTTACAAAAAACCAAAGAGGAAGTAAGGCAGTAATAAATAAGCAGGATAATGTGTTAATATAGCGAGAGAGTCTACAAACAACATGGAATGATTAACTACACAGAAATAAAAAACATTAGTAATAATAATAATGAGTAAGACAGTGTGGCGAAAAATTCCTATTTACGTTTTCAAATTAAAAACGGAATAAAAGAAAATGGTTGACAATCGGGAGGGTAGGTTGAAGGAGGTAAGGAAATACAAAATCAATGTCAAATTGTCATCAATGAATATTTGGCATTAATCTAACATTATATAATTGCATTCAGAAGGATTAAAACGTTTAAAATAATAGTGATATAATAATCAAGTGACAACACACAACTGTAATTTAGGACAAATTAAACTTGGATTAAAGTTAGAAATGTCGTCGGCGACCAGAAATCCAATGAAAGGAATAACAATAATATTAATAAGTATTCAATAATTGTTTTCACTTTTATTTAGGAGATATTCGAAAGACGTCGGAAAAGATACTATTGACAAGAGATAATTTATCCTGAACATTGACAGTTATCATAACAAAAATCCATAAATAATGGATAGCTTCATTGGTTCAACTGACAGATGTGCAAGGATGATCTGGGGAGCCCATTTGACTAAGAACACGATCAAGCCATTGTAGAGGTCCATTTAAATGAATTTCAATCCAACATGGAGTGCTAGTTACAGTTTGTCGGCTGAAAATAAGAAAAAAGAACGTAAGACGGTAGGTGAATACATACAAAATGGTGACGCCGCACACACAGAGGGTAGATTAGTAGAGAGAGGATAAAAAACTATCAAGCAAAAGAGAAAAAACCTTCGAAAAATGAAGGCGAATAATCGGTGTAGCTATAGGCAGATATTAGAAACTAAGCTGATTATTTTTAAACAATATGTCTTTTTCTATCTCAAAACTCACTAACTTTGTACAACATAACACTTTCCCAAAACTTTCTCTTTAAATTACAACATTGGACACTTAGCAAAATACGTAGACGTGATCGGCGACTCAAGCAAAATATACCGGAAAATTCGTTTTCAACTTGAATAGTGCTTACGAAATCAGCTACTTAGTAAACAAGTAAACTACCTGTCTTCAAAGAAGTATAGTTGAGTACAGATATTTGAATTTGATCATGAATTCCAGCTAGTCAACGATAGAGAAATTTAGTTAATGAAAATAAGATGACGATCTATATAGCTACTACACTGTCTACTACAAACACTAGAAACAAGTAGGAGATAGTCTATAATTTATGAAGTATACACCTTAAGTAAAACAACAATGAGTATTATTTAAACAAATAATTGATTAAGAGTCAATCGTATTTTGAACAAAGAACATAAAACACCGGTCATGTTTCTCAGATTGTATTAAGATGTTCTGTAGTTATGTGTTCAAATACATTTGGTTGTAGCCGTTTGTGATCTCGGTCACAACAATTACACTCATACTGTCATTAAAAATGATACATCGAACAAAAATTACTACAGTAGCGTTAGTGTGTGAGTGGTTGAGACCCGGTCGTCCGTAATGTGAAAAAATAATTCTATCTGGGAGGGGGGGTGGCAAAAAACGGAATGAGATTAGTAGTGACGGTCTTGTATGTCTGGGAAGAGACAGTCATTTAGAACCAATCGTACACGAGATTTTCGAGAGTTCCTATCGATGTATGCTCCTTAAATGTTAGACATTATTCGAGGTGCTGTAAATTCGTGGAGCAAAATGAAGTAGTTTATTCGCAGGATCATATTCTTTAACTCCAACTTTATATGTGAGAGAGCAATAACACTTAATATGCTAAGGAATACTTTACAGCTTCCATTCATCAGTATAACCAGGATATGGTTATGGTTATTGAACCCTAAATCGATTCCGTTTGGAAACTGCTGAGCTCCTATCAGCTTGAAGGAACAAGATTTTCAGCCAAAACAATCCTGCTGAATTATCACGACAGGTGAAATCAACCAACATGTCATGGGTATCAGACATGATCTGGTCAAATATTATCGACAGATCTCATACATAAAATATACCTCATGTAAAATCACTTGAACATAGGATAATATTGCATAGGATACTGAACATACCGATAATCAGCACCCCATCCTTTGACAAAACTCATTCGTATAGTACACATATTTGTTAGTGAATAAACAGCTTCAAAACCTTTAGTTACATTCTCTGTAAGAAGATTGGCAAATTCTTGATTATTGAATATTTTTAAATTACATCCAGGCGGAATTTTACATACAGTTGCTGGATGCCATTTATACATATAATTGCAATTAGGAGATTGTACAAATATAGCACTGTCACTTAAACATTCTGCAAACACTTCACCGCCAATATAATAAAGTTTAACACCTTTACCTATTTTCAAAGAAGAAAACAATATACTAGTAATTAAGACGAGGAACAATAAACAAAAAAATCACGATTTATCGATCGTCTACATTCATCAACCAATATAGAATATTCATAAAAATCTGTCCCAATAGTAATACTGAAAATGAATAACCTCTGGTATTATGGAATGAAAGACATTGAATGAATGTAATCAAATATGTAATCTTTTGTAAGAATTTTATTTATAATAAAAACTATTATAATTAATCAGAAATTTACTGTTAAAATTGAAACAAAACTATGAGTTAACAATCTGCAACATCACAGCCACGTATTAGTCCGAATCCCCGTCTAACTATTTCAAGGGGGTAGTATTCATAGCTCGTATAGACAAAAATGCTCTTCAGAGCCACTTAAACGAAGGTGTACATAGTAAATATGTTATATAAAAAAGACCGAGTAATGCTAATAGCTCCTACCGAGCGTTTTCAAATCACTGTGCATTACAAAGCAAAATTACTTACAGTACTGAACCCAACCCAATTTTATTGACAGCACTTGATCAATATCACGTAACCGATAATATGAAATCCGTTTACTACTCACTTTTATAGAAGGACTAAATAGCTAATTAATACCATATTTCATTGTGATACTGATTAATACGGATTTGACTGTCAGTTTCCTGAAGAGTACAAACAAAAATTACTGACGGAATTTCAACTAGCATCAAATCTAAATACAGGGCATCCTAGCGATCGGCTCCAACTACCAAACAGTGCTAGGAATAATTACATGACAGTAACCAAGACAACTAAAAGCCTATTATTTTACCATGTTAGCCATTCACATTTAGAAATCCATGGCAAATACATTTTATACAGTAAAACAATAATCTAGTTAGTAAAACAGTATATTATCTAAACAAGGAAATCAAATATTTTGAATGAAAGGTAATTTTGGTAAGAGTGAAATGACTATAATGAACTTTGACTAAAGTTAATTTTTATTACTTACACTAGTATTTATAATCTCATAAAGAGAGAAGGGCAAACTACCTACATATACGTCTGAAATAACTTTTTTTTATTAGATTTTAAACTTTATATATATATATATATCACTACAGGTTGAGAAACTAACTAATAATAACAGTTACCAACCAAGAGTAAATTTTAAAAGAAATTAATATGAAATGTAGCTTAAACGAAAACCAAATAATTAATAGAAATGTATTATACAAGTAACAATATATAGTGGTTACTGTGTTATAAATATACATACCAATAATCCATAAATAACACACAACAGATATTGGAAAGTAAGCTTGGCAATTAAAAATGTCATAAAAAAAGAAACAACAATACACGACTATTATTATTGCTTTATTTAGCCTAGAAAACTTTCCATCACTTAACTATTTCGATCGTAAATGACTGCATTCACTAGCGCACACACATGCATGTACATAAACATACACACACACAACCATTAACTTCAAAGGACACACTGGATAGTAAGCTTGACCTATAAATCGATTTATATTGATATACATATTTTTCAATCACATTCCACTCCTCATCGATCTGTTAGAAAAATCAATAGAAACAGTAAGTACCAGCTTCAGGATGTCGATTTCCCAACTTTACCCACCACCCAGTTCACATTTTGGGTAGGAGAAGTAGAAAACTTTTGTTTTGTTTTGTTTTATAGAAACAGGAAAGCGAGAGGCAAAAAAAGATGAGGAAGAAGTAAGCTGAAAATGGATTCATCAAATAAACTATTTGTTGTTATCTCTTAATATGAAATCGAATTCAACCGACTGAATGTGAGAAAAATCAATGTAACAGTTAAAGATGAAAAAAACTTCCGAAAACCAAACAACAATAAAGAAGAACATTAGCTGAAGTGTTGGATCATTAATTCATAAAAACAATTCGAACATTGAAAATATTCAAATAAACATGTAAATGAATTTTGAATGAATGTTTGTCAAGCACTATAAACGCTAACTAAAATACAAGGATAAATTAAATCTAAGATCCAATAACGATGTTTCAAGATTTATTCTCAAATATTTAATATGACTAAGGATGAAGGAAAATGTTTTCTCACCCTAGAAGTATTCACACATTAATAAACATTTACAGTTTGTTACTGAGAAATATTGCAAGAGGAAACTCTACTGAGAATATTATTCGTTCTAGTTCAAACACAAAAATATTGTGACACTTCTTAAAACCAACTATAAACATTACAAATGAATAAAATATTCATCATTTTAGATCAAATTACCTAACCTGGATAGCCTACTTGATTATCCCAAGAAGCATATATACGAGCGATATTTGTATTTAAAATATGCCATTAAAAAGTTAAGTCGTTTATGACTTTGCTAAACGCACAATAAATATTAAATTTTTATTGACTCATTACAAATTATCTAAGTTTTACAGTTTATTCCTACAGGTTAGGAGTAATGTGTGCAAAATCTTCACAAAAGTAACGTGGTGGTCAACATGTACTGCTTATTTAAAATTGTTAGTAATATCTGGTAAATGTAGGGTTTTTAGCTCATCCAAGTAACAAACAGCAACAAACCCAGTATCAGAGAAGCAATCTGTAGATTTGATGGTAAGTTAACCAATGGCTTATAAAAACGCAACAATATTATTTCCATATTTTATTAGGAATATTTATTGCATTATCTTTGATCCTACTATTCAGTGCTGTTTAGTCAGTAAGTAACCGATCAACTTAACGAGGGATTAAAAAAATCTAAATAATAAATCACATAGCTGACGAGAACCAACGAAATAAAAATGAATTCATGCTATTCTGCTAGAATGTTTGTTCTTGCTCTTTTCAAAATGATAAAGGGAACTATGTGTATGAAATAACTGAAATTATCTCATCGTAAAGTAAAGCGATTGTCATACACGTCCTCAAAAGTGAGTTAAGTAGTGGGTGATAACAATTAGTGTGTAACTACTACTACTTCCAACATATTTTATGGGTTATTTCGAACACGTGTAAGATTAAGGTAAGAGGAGTAGCTCAACTTGATCACTTCTCCTTCACTTTCTATCAAAATCCTTGGACAGTGTAAGCTGAGGAATGTTATGCTTATCGAACATCTCAGTCAACAGAGTTTAGAATCTTTCTGTATTTAAATTTCTGAACATAGTCACAGTTGTAAATTAACACTGTAACGCGAAATTTCGGAAGCAAGATACAGAATAGATGAATCTGCTTTACTAAGACTGAATGCAAACTCTGTCACCTAAGGCCTTCACAATATTTGATTATAACTATCGCGCAGACCACAACTAGGGTACAGTCTATCTACTACATACAGTATCTGGCATCCTGAGGGTTTCGTCATGCTAACTTATTACTGAGCTAATATGTCTATTGAAGAAGGGATTACAGTAGCATGTATAATACTAGTCATATATAAATTACCTCAGTAGATGGCGGTTTATCGAAATATTGTCAAGGATTATAAACAGTAACAACATCGACTGAGCCGTATCGTTGTAAGAAATAAGGTTTTAATAACAAAATGATTATGAATTGATGAAGTTCTACTAACCAAGTGCATAATGTCGACTGGAAATGTTGAGATTCATGTATTAGAAAACATTGGTAAGCTGTAACTTCAAGTGTAACTGATGAAAAATTGTGGTACGTTAATCATAACCTACTTTCTTGTCCTGTAATCATTCATTGGTTTATTCAAATTAGCTTATTCTCCTGGCACATGAATATGGAGACCAGTGATGCCTATCCGGTTGCCTAAACCGAAGTGGTGCGGAGCTTGAATCTAGGAACTAGTGATTAAAAACCGAGCGCCTTAATCACTGAGCTATCACTCTACTTACTCATTAGTAACTTGAAGTTATTATTGTAATAGAAAATTATATTATGCATTCTCATTACTGGCTTCGTTTGTGTTGATTACAAGTACTAAAAAAACACTGGTAGAATTTTCTATAGTACTAAGTAATACGTTGTATTTAAACATACCAATATCTAGTGTATTATAGTCAACTTACCAATATGTCTTCTTGTCAGCTCAATCTGATGTCCTCTATTCACATTGGATAATAGACCTAAACAGAAACGATTATGTCTATTTGGATCGGTGAAACCGTCAACAGTTAAACATGGACTAGAACAATGAAATGTATCTCCAACACGAGTATTCATTTCATAATAATATAATGAACACCAATATTCAGGTTCTTGGTAAGCTACTGAAGTCATTTCATTTCCATCAATAAGAACATCGCTTAACATATCTGGAAAAAAAATAAAACACGAATGAAAGATTCACTGAGGAAAAAGATTTTATAGTCTATATGGAACTTTATATGAATAGGAAGAATGGAAAGACTGACATTGTCAAAAATGTTTGCTAACCTATGTTAAAATAATACATATATGTAGGCTAATATCTACTTGAAAATTATTCAGATATATATTATGGATGAAAATGAGAAAATAGCTTATCAAGTAACTGCTGCAATGCAGTATATAAATTTATGAAACTTGTGTGATAAAACTGTTTCCCCCCGTCTCAAAAAAATTTATCGTACTTAATTAGATTTGATGATTATTATCGTTTCTAATTTTCAAACATTACGTAAATCATCAAACTGCATCACGAGGCAAGCCCTAACTTGGAATCCTGAAGGTAAGAGGAAAAGAGGAAGGCCAAAGAACACATTACGTTGGGAAATAGATGCAGATATGAAAAGGATGAATAACAAGTGTTATGACCTGGAAAGAATTGCCCAGGAAAGGGTTGGATGGAGAATGCTGGTGAGCGGTCTATGCTCCTTCACAAGGAATAACAGGCGTAATTAAACTAAAATTATTGTTTTCATTCAGCTTTTCTGATTTTTCTGCTCAATTTATATGTAACATAGTTTTTAAATTGTCTAATAACATTCCTGGACATTTTATTTTGTATTTATAGTTAAAGAAAAAACAAATATTAATCTCTAATAGAAATCTTTGGTTTTGTGAAAAATCAATAGCTGGAAAGAAGGTAGAATTGGTTAAAGGTTTATTGGTTACGTTCGTTTGTATTCCAGAGAAAACATGACATGATTTATTAAATAGGTTAAGTCTACACATCAATATACTTTGTTCTATTAGAATGTTCTTACGATAAAAAATTTCAATATAAGATTGGAAGGTGTATAATATATCATGTATTCATAGTACAATTTGTAAGTACTTCAAAATTATGAAGTGAAGGGTTTTATTTGAAGGTAAGCAACCTTAAGTATAATAGAAATTGTCACGTTTACATTCGCTAATTAAATTTGCTCGGATTTATCCCCAATCGTGTAAATACAGTCAGTTGTAATGAACGTAAGGCCTGGAAGAAAATTTGCGTCAGTACGTGTTGCCGCACCATATCAGTACAACGAAATGAAATTCGTATGATGAATAGGATAGAGAGCGACAGAATTATGGTAGTAATGATAGCAAGAAAGATTAAACGACGAGACCTCAGTTCAAGAATACGGAATAAAATCTATATGGAAGGATAGTGTAAATACAATTACTGCTTTTTTTTATTGCAACGAAATTAAAATGTACAGTTACATGAATATTTGCAAGAGGTGTCTTTATGGTAAATAAACTTGACTGTTGTATAATATCGAAACTGTACAGAATCAAATGATTGATAGTGTTAAGTACTGTAAACTATTTGGAGTAAACAACATAACAACGTAATATTGAACTATACATTCCACTAAACTGTAAATCGCTATAAACTTGAAACGTAATTACTGGAAGAACTCAGACCTTACATTTGCACACTTAGAAGATTGAATTTATTTAGGGATTAAGAGGGCAGTTTTAACTTAAATGAAAGTAGCTGTGTAATCCTTCTTTTCACGTATTCCTGTCATTACTACACCAGTTCTTGAACTTTTCATACAGGCAGACAAAACTAATATGTCTTAACGTATCATTGAAATCATGAACCTAATTTAGTTAGACCACCATTGAAAACCTGGATTAACTGTACGGGCGTTTCGTCCTAGTATGGAACTACTCAGTGGTGTGCATCCGTATGATGAATAAATATTCCACCAAACTATCAATTAATTATGAAAACGAGTAGCTTGAAAACACGTCCAAAAAATATATACACCTAAATAAATAATAACTGAAGTCATCTATACAAGAAACTTTAGTACACATTGATGAAACTATTAGATATCAATTGAAATTCTCGAAAGAGAAGAGAATGTAAACTTTTCGTTTAAATTCATTCATTACTAGTTCATACATGCCAACAAATATATATATATATATATATATATATATATATATATATATATATATAGAATTGTAATTCTACTGGTCAACACAATTCAATCATCATCAACATTCTCTTATACCAATGAAGAGAATCTACACACGAAGTATATCTCTCCCACCTAAATAAACATGTGGCATCGACTAATTACATATGCAATAACACAATAATAATAATTAATAGATAAATAAATATCTAAATATTAAAACGGAACTATATAAAATGTTATGACACATCTATTAGTACAGAATAATAATAACAGAAAGCTAGGGAAGTCACAAGAAAAAAGGGAATACACTGCAGAAAACCTACATGACAAATACCAAATGTACACTTTGATAATATTTTTATATTATAGAGAGTGAATCATTGAGAAGTAAAAACATATGTTTGTTGGGTGAGAGGCTATTTAATACAATTTAGTAATAACCAAATAAATCTTGATGTACTCGGCTAACCGAATTAGAATAGTTGAGTCACGGTTTGAAGTTGAACCCTTTCACAGTGAACAAAAGAAATGCAGTATGACCAAGTATGGATTCGTGTACTCAGCTTTAAATTACACTTTATGTGTGAAGGCTGATGACACTGCTTGGCTGTCCAAACTAAATAGGTGAAGTGGGACTCGAACCTACGAGTTGTTGAAAGTTGGATGATCTAACCAATAAGCTACCTTTATATAAACAATAGTACTCAACAGTTATGAGGACAAAAGAGAAAGTTTTCATACTTTATTTTCAGATCGAGTTTTTTTCTCAATTGCTGCGTTATGTTTTCGCTTGACAACTTAGATATAAAATAAGGGTGAACTAATTAACCGAGCATAATTTAGATATTTTTGAGCATAAATACAAATATTAAGGTATATTGGTAACCTGAATAGCGTTCATTGAAAATAATGATATATGAGTCCAAAGCTACTACTACTTTAATGTACAGAACTGACACAGTAAGAACTTGTAAAAAGCCGTGTACGACTCCTTGAGCTCTGTAGGCGCGCTACAAGGTCGCCAAGACTACTACTAATCTAGTTTCCTTTCGAAATAAATTAAAGATTTCTTCCACAATGCAGAAACTGGTTATCGACCACACATCTCTAGCACCATTCAAGATAATCATGTTTCATGACACTACCGAAAGTCATATGTAGCACTGTGTAATTTAGTGGTTAAAGCATTTCACTTTCATAATCAATAGATAAACGATTGGAACCCCTACATCATCTACTTCAGTTTAGGCGGCTAAGTAGTATCGCTAGCTTTCAAAACGAACAATATGACTCAAAGCTGAATACAAAGACTTGTACTCTGTAGTAGATAAGTTGAACTAATTCACACTAGTTACATAAAAACTTCTGAACAAGTTTTATAATTAAAAGTTAGTAAATGAAAAAAAGTATTAAAACTTATTCGCATTATCATACACACTATACGCATGAATACATACCTAGATCCATATTGTCATCTTCACTAATACAATTTTCTTCAACTGATGACAATGTACCAGGAGAGTTTATTGAAGGGCCGGCACCAGCAATACTGGGAGCTTTTTGAGTTGTAGATGAGGAAACTGATGATGACTGACCCATAAAACTTGAACTCAAATTATCAGCATTTGGACCTAGGCACTGAGAATCGTTAGAACGATCTTCTTGGCAAGCAGACACAGGAATTGGATAATCACCCATACTAAGTGACCTAAAAAGTTATGATATTAAAAAAAATTCAATGGTATATTTTTAAAGGCAAAAAAACTTGACACTCCAGATAACAATTATAGAGGTTATGCAAGAAGCATACTTAACGGTCTAGATTGTTGGGAAAAAAAGACAACTTTGTCAAACGCTTGTACTTCTTCAGTAAAATATAAGTCTTTGTCAGGGAGAATTAAAATTAATTGAATTGTAAAGAAATAAAGAGATAAGAGAACAACCTAAGTTAAATTGACAGAATTATAGAATAGTGTGGAGAGATCAAAATCATATCGCATTAACCAGAATCCTGTTTCGTTAATGAGGGAAAATTAAAACATTTGGTGAAAATATATTAGTCCAAATAATTATCAAACTTGAGGATATATGTAGGAAATTCAGGATTCCTGATGAACTAGAACAAAATAAATAAAGCGGAGATTATAAGTGACATGGCTCAAAACTGTTTAAAATGTTGTAGATGCTTTATTCATTTGAAGTTTAATCTTCAAATTCAATATTTTCTACATTTTGTTACTATTTACTATTGTACTGATTTATTTTGACACTTGATTTTTAGATTTGTAGTTTCCTCTAAGTCTCTCTACCTGTGCAAATATGAAAATGGGAAACTTTGATTCAGTGAACTTGTCTTACATCTTACACTGTTTATGGTTAACAACTGACTTAAAAACAATAGCTTTACATTAAAATTGATCGATCTACAGAATATTCGATTTACTTCACATGAGAATTACTATTCAATGGAAGTTTATATAAATGTATATAAAAATTATAGTCAAAAAATTACGAACATAAAATATTCATGATTTCTTTCTAAGATTAATTATGCAACATGGAATGCGAGATTCAAATTGAGTCTACTGAAATAATCTGACCATCTAACCTCCGAATTTAGTCAGTGGAACGAAAGAAAAGATAGGAAGGTAAACCGAAACTAAAAAGAAAATAGGGACTTTATTCATTACACATTAAAAACCGACAAAAACACTACTCATATACGTAAGTTGCATTTGTCATGGATTAATCCCAAATGCCCTGGTACGGCCGAGAGTGGGGAGAGTCCGCTCTCCCTCTCGAAATGCTCTCACATGGCCATGCGTATATAGCCTCTGCCAGGGAAGTCCTACTCACTGCCTTCTCGTGGCGGGGGTGTTGTTTACAAAAATGAGAGGACGAAAAGCGAATGTCCGGCGCTTTAACCGGATCCCAAACCAATGGTGCACATGGGCTCCAGTATCCTGAAGGAATAAATGGCGTATGAACCAATCGTTGTTCACCGGCCACCATGGGACTGCATCTCCTCACGATGCCCCACTGCGTTGTGGGTTAGACGTTCAGGTCGAAGGCTCGGGGTGTGGCCCCCTAAGAAAATCACCTGCTTCGGTTTGGGCACCCGAGCAGTATCACAGCCCTCACACAAATCAATTGAGATTCGTGTGGCACATATGTACTTGGTGCCTCCCTGTACCTATACTTATGTGTTAAAATAAAAAAATAATAAGGTATCACTGAAAACCATGGATCATTAGGAAGTTGTTCTCTTCTAGTATGACACTCCTCGACAGTGAGCCCCAAAATACTACCAGTGATAGGATTTGAACTCAAGACCCTCAGGTGTTGTGGTGAATTCTTAACCAATAGAACCCCTTGGTTGACGTCCGGTGGTACAATTCTAACTTCAATCAATTAACAATACAGCGCAGAGATAAATGACTTCCACTGATGACAACTGTCACACTTTCCGTGTCCTAAAAATTTGTCTGGATTACTCAGATAACTTATTCAAAGTCAATAAAAAACCAAAGGTGATTCCAGTTACCATACATGCACGAATAATAAGATCATGCAAAATAATTAAATTAAAACGAAGTTATAAGTCGTTGTTGCATAAAGTCTAGGCTGAATGACTTGATAAGATAGCCTTTAGTTAATGGCATTTGTCATTCCCTTAATCGTCTCATTGACTTTGAATATTTTTTAGTTCTATATTATGATTGATATTATTCCGTTCTTCCGCTTTTCACTTCGTCAATTTTCCTCCCAGTGTTCGGATGAAAAATATAGTGGTACAAGGGCCTACAACGTTTGTAATTGATAGATGAATATTTTGCTGATATAAGGTGAAAGTTATCATCATATAAATATGGGGAAAATAAAACAACCCTCTATAATAATTCTGAGAAATTAATTCTTTACTATCATCATGACACTAGCCAAAATCCTATTTCAAATCAACTTGTAACAAAAAACGAATAACTCAGTGAATCATTTTATTAAACAAGTAAGCATTCTAGAGTTAAAAAGAAACAAACAACAAACCTCGTTGTAGCATTGTGAATGTGATTTGCTACACCTAAACTGCGAGCGAAATCACGACCATCTCCGCTAAGACTGGACACCACATTCATAAGAGACGATTGATAGCCTGAATGAGGAGGGGCTGGGGGCGTTCCAACTAAATTAGGAGGTCCACCGAGAGTCATATTTTCAGCAGCCTGTAGATATGGGATTAAACATATTATTCAGCAGTTTACGGTAAACAAGTCAATGATTATTGTTGTTGTACACATATATTCCTTCGTGGTTATCATAATTTCAAATGTGCATTCTACAGAATGCATAATAAAAACTCAATAAAGTTACATCAATCTATGTATAGAATTAAAATGTAGTCTTTTGGGTAGGAATAGAAGATTGACTGATGAAACAGTAAACCTCCACTAACTGAAGTGGTTCAAACTATTAAAAATACTTAGTCAACCCTTACGCTGATGTTATCTTAGCTAGCGCAGGAGTAGGTTAACAAATAGACTAAAGGTGGGTAAAGTAATATATTGTGTCAGCCAAAGAAGTCACTAACCACTGGTCTAATCTATATGGAGAGATGCAGACTTTCTGAATGGAGTTTGGGTGGCTAACATAATCCACGGCTGAAGATTTTAAGTGTCGAGGGCTGAAACCATTCATAGTGGTGCAGGAAATCTATTTATTTTGCATACTTCTGCTAAAAGTGAGTGTTAGCATTATTTTATTTATTTATTTAAACATATAAACATTGGTACAAGGGGGCACTAAATACATATGCGCCACATTTTGTCATTTGATTTGTATGAGGGCTGTGATACTGCCCGGGTGCCCAAACCGAAGTAGGTGATCTTCTTAGGGGGCCACACCGAGAGCCTTTGACCTAAAGGTCTAACCCACAAGGCAGTGGAGCAACTTTAGGAGATGCAGTCCTATGGTAGTCGGTGACCAACATTAGGTTCATACGCGTTTTGTTCCCTCAGGATCCTGGAGCCCATGTGCACCATTGGTTTAGAATCATGGTTTTCCAACTCCCCTAGGTGGATCCTCCGTGTCCACCGACCCGGTTAGAGCGTCGGACATTCGCTTTTTGTCCTCTCAATTTCGTAAACAACAGTAATGCCGCGAGAAGGCAGTGAGTAGGACTTCCTTGGCAGTGGCTGTATACGTGTGGCCACGTGAGAGCATTTTGAGATAGTCGACTCTCCCCACCCTCGGTCGTACCAGGGCATTTGTGGCATTATTTTATACTTTTTAATATTCGATTTCATTCGTTTCTTTTGATTTTTTGTTTATCACGACCGTTAATACAATAATTTCTAGTTTATACGAATATTCGTCAACATTAGAACGAATAGTTTGACAGAAATAACATCTAGTGCTTCATCTTTGCTTTAACAAATTTCTCATTACTGCTCTAGCGTGAATCTGTAGTAACTTGAACCAATACACATTCATATAAAGTCATATTACGCTACCAAAAAGTCGGTGATAAAGTCAAAACTTATCACGTGAAGTAACGTTTTCTTTGGATGCTGCGGATGAATACTTTACCAGTTTAATGTACTAACAATTTCAGAGTAACCTGAAAATATCGATAGCTCCTCTGTGTGTCGTTATAAGTTGCTTTGTGTCATTAATTCAAATTTGTTGGTAAAGTGGTGATTTTATAAACAATTAATAATCATTAAAAGTATAAATATATGAATGGAGAATACAAAGCTTTGAAAAAGACATACTTGCTATAAATGCACTCGAACAGATTCGGTCTTTATATCAACATTAACTCGCAGTTAGCTTACAAGATCAAACGAAGTCATATGATAATGTGATTTTGGTGAAATGAAAGTTATTATTGTAGGACATGCAAGGCTCTGCTTTATTAATATTAATAGAACTCAGGCTCATCTTAACAACAAACAAATTTTTAATTACATTATTTAAATTACCAACATAGAATCTTATGAAACGTGTGCAACAACTGATTTTTTACAATTCTCAATCAGTGTCGAGGGGTGCCTATATGGCTTAAACCAAATGGATTCCGAAAAACAGGTCACAGGTTCAAATCCCTTTTCACGTATGTAAGTTACAACAGTCGAACAGTATTGTTATTCACCACATAGATAACGAGACTTAAAGCCGAGTACAGAAACGTGTAAATGAGTTACATTATTACAAATATTTTAAGTTTATGTAGATGGTGATTTAGCGCATATAGGTACAAGCTTCAGTCAATGTGACTAGTGAAAGTTCGCAACTATACCAATAAGCAAGTACCTCTATGAACACACAAGCTGCTAATGTGACCACAAAAATCAAATTCCAAATCTCCAGCCGGTTATGATAAGATTATATTAAACAACTGTACTGAAATTTACATTAGTAATGTGGTACTATCACATCAGTTAGAAGAATGAAATTTACAACACTAGATTTTTTCACACACACATTCATATTTGTATTTTGCTGAAATTAATACCCACGTGCATGGCATAATACTGATGTTGATACGTAAATATATAAGCAACTCTCAAGGAGATAAATAAAACTCACTGAAACCATGTGGGTAATAAACTATATGCAAATATAAGCAAGTATTTAAAACTAAGTGGGTGATTTACCTCACGAAGGCTCACACATGGTGGATGCGTTCCACCGAGTACATTTCCAACATTTTCTAAACCAGCTATTGCTCGACTTGCTACAGCATACGCGTCAAGTGCATCACCTCTGGCTAGAGCAGCGGCTGTCACAGCATCTGTAGCAAGATGTTGTCTGGGTTGTTTAGATGGAGGAGCTAGGAGGGCAGCTAAACTATTTGGTTCTGAACCACAATCATCTCCCATTATCATAGAATCATTTAATCCAGCAGTGGAAGGATGATGACTCTGTAAAGCGTTTAGATGATGTTGTTGTTGAAGACCTTGTTGATACTGATTGTGCATAGAGGAGTATCGAGAATGATGTGAACCAAAGGATGAACCTCTTCCATAACGTTCAGTAGATGATTCTGTCACACCACGATGTGTATTGTTGTCGTTATTGATTCCGGAAGTCCCATTGTTAACTGTACGAGGAACCATAATTGGTGGGAGAACTATAAATAGACGAAAATTAATGGGTTTATTTAATAAAGAAAAACATACATTGGTGGATTACTAGGTTTCAATCATTAAATACTATTAAAAAGAGGAAACAAAGACATGACGGAAAGCATCGTCCGTTATTTCGATTCGGTTTTATTTTAACAATGAAATTATGTAATGAAACTAAGACCAATTTAAATTTGGTTCACGAGTTTAGTAATCAGATAAAGATAATTTATCAAAAATAGCATTCATCACGACATAGAACACAACTGAAATCAAGGATTATTGATAATATACTGCAGAGGGCGAGAAATTCCACAGACGGATATAAATAAACTCACAGTGACAATGAACTTCAGTCCGGTTTATTTACACAGCTTTTGAGTACCGTAGTTTACGTAAGAGTTTGTAGTACTAACTGGCTGTTCACAATGATGCATTTGGAGTAAGCATCAGATTTGTGACATACTGGTTGAAATTTAATGCTAGTTGATTTTAACAGGTTAGATTTTTGGCATTTGTGACTGTCACCTGTTAAGTTTAACAATCAGCTTTTATCTGAAATGCACGAGCTTATATCTCGGGATTTAGCTATTGAAAACAGTTATACTGAGAAGAAACTTTTTCGTGTGAAATGGAAATGTAAACATTTATAAGATGAGTTTCTAAGTATTATTTATTAAAAACGTTTGACATGGGATAACATTATTTCAAAAAACATTCTAAGTAAGCAAATAGACTTGATAACAATATTTTGGATTATCACGGCTCATGATAAAAGTATAAATGAATATTTAATGACTGTATGATAAAACCTTAACTGTGTAAGCTTGTACAGAGTGGGCGGAATGGAATTCTAATGTCTAATAAATAGTAGAGAATCTAATATCAAACGATACAAAAAGTAAGCGGATAATTAGTGCAAAAATTCAGATGAAAAATGTGCATACAAAACCTATACGCATATAATGCATGTCATACTCGTAAGGTTATAAGTCTGTCAGTGATTGTGTTCAAAGTATTAACTGGCACATCATAATGCTCAAACCGTGTGAAATGAGTGAGTTGACCTGCTTTTTCTGCTTGTCGTTTTATGATGAGAAGTCGTAAATAATCGAGAAGTTCGTGTATATGATTAGCTCTGTTAGTTTGAATAGTAATATAACGGTGAAGACCAACTTATAGATGACTCAAGTCAGATTTCCTTACCACAATGTGAAATACTACTGGGACCACAGGCACATTAGTCTGACTACCAAACATGTTGGCGAAAAAGGCTGTAGGGGATAGTACTTCTGTACATTAGAAAAATATGGTAATTTCTAGGTAACGATGTTTAAAGTGTGCATTTGATTACTACTGAAAGACAGAAAAATCATGTAAACAGAGCTGAGATCTACCAGCGTATTTTTAGACATAGTAAAGACAGTCACTCACATGCACCATAGAACCTGGCACATATGTGCGTCGGTTCAAGTTGATATACCATATCAGAATAGAGAGACAAAACCAGAGCGAAACCAAAGATAAATTTTATGGTAGAAAACACAAATAATTAATTAGCGGAATAAAAAGTAGATAATTTTAAGTGTCAAATACCTTGGTACGATCGAGGGTGGGGAGAGTCGACTATCTCAAAATGCTCTCACGTGGCCACACGTATACAGCCACTGCCAAGGAAGTCCTACTCACTGCCTTCTCGCGGCATTACTGTTGTTTACGAAATTGAGAGGACAAAAAGCGAATGTCCGACGCTCTAACCGGGTCGGTGGACACGGAGGATCCACCTAGGGGAGTTGGAAAACCATGATTCTAAACCAATGGTGCACATGGGCTCCAGGATCCTGAGGGAACAAAACGCGTATGAACCTAATGTTGGTCACCGACTACCATAGGACTGCATCTCCTAAAGTTGCTCCACTGCCTTGTGGGTTAGACCTTTAGGTCAAAGGCTCTCGGTGTGGCCCCCTAAGAAGATCACCTACTTCGGTTTGGGCACCCGGGCAGTATTACAGCCCTCACACAGATCAATGATAACTGCTACTGACCTCATTGTTATTGTGTGGCGCATATGTATTTAGTGCCCCCTTGTACCAATGTTCATGTTCAAATAAATAATTAAGAATGAATACATCTGATCCATATCACCTAACCTTTCTAACCACTGGTCATGATACTCGCGCGAACTCTAACTCGACAATCTTAACCTACCAATATGGATCAGTTCATATGTCAATATTTGTAGGCTGATGTCATACATAAATCTGACCACCCCTATCCTTCTTACGGCTTACCCCTAAACCAGAGTACACTCCAAACTATTCCAGTCGACGATTCATATCTTAATCAATAGATTTCCTATCTTTACCTGGTACCCTATACCCAATCTTATCACGAGTTACATGGTGGTCCTAAAATATGTGGAGTGTTTTGAAGGGATCTATAATTAAATGCTAGTAGCCTACGGACATCCTTTGTCTTGAAATACCGACATCGATAACTATCACATATTTTATGCTTCTAATTTTAGTTGATTTAACGTAGTGTATTATTTGTTGACGCTAGGACTGTACAGAAAGTTTCAAGATAACATTTCAAAATATCAAAAAATGAAACCCGCCGACTTAATGTGTATTTTCCATACAATATAATGGTTGGTAAATTAATTAACCATTATTTTACTACAGAAGCATATCGTGTGCTAACTTTGGATTGACAAACATTCACGAAAAACAAAACTGAAAACTTTAGAAGTCGATTAATATATTCTACACGTTTTCCTCCAGTTACTTTATTTTGAAAGTTTAACAAAAAATAATGGATGGTTTTCAGAAAAGTTCTACTGCTGATGGTGCAAGTAGTGAAATATAGTTACTATAAATTACGATAAAGATACTAGGAACACAAATGTCGGTCTTCATAGGACTATCGAACTCATAACCAATTAAAAAACAACGTTTACGAAGGATAGTCATGAAAATGATCTTTTGAAAACCATCACTTTAAATCAACTCCATGTCAGAGTGAATTTCAAGAGCTTAAGTGTGCACTGAGAATGATTCCGTCAGGAGATAAACAAATTCTTACATAAGATGTAGACCTATTCAAAGATAGCAACCAATGTTGAGAATGGAAACAAAACATCTTATACAAACCTGGATTTTCAATCCTTCGATAGTGATAAGGGTTGATACAAACCTCATCGCGTTTTGATTGGAAAGAATATTCACAAGTAGCGATAGGTCTTAACTCGTGCTGAGTATGCAGGTCTGGCCATCGCCAAAGTTGGCAGTAAAACACGTGTGGTAAACCTTTTTTCTGGGCAACCTAGTGAAAATCAAAGGCAAATAAAACACAATGTGTGATCGAAAATAGTGTATTTAACAACAACACGACAAAATACGACCTAACCATGCATAAAATAACGAGGCACATAATTTAAATTCCATAAAAATTCATATCATTTCATTATGACAGACCAGCGTAATGTAGTTTTCTAGTCTTAACGATCCGTACTCAATAACATACAAAAATCAAATATTTGAAAACTGCATGGTTACAATTAAGCGAAAAGAATGTAGAAACAGATAGACACAAAAATATTTGATAAAAGAACTATGAACTAGTTAATACAAATTATTCAACTGACCTAGCTATGAATCCGAAGATTTTATGAACTAACCCGTTAATCGTTAACTGACTAAATAGCTGGCTATTATTTCATATTTAAGTCTCATACCATCTTAGATAACTGGCTTTGTTCGTCAAAACAAACGATTATGATTGTATATTATGCATTTAAGACGTAACCAAGAGCTAAAGTTTGATTACTCAGCGTCTTTTACGTAGTATAACTTAATGATTTATTTTGAGAGCACTTAGAATATTACTAATCACGAATCTTCAAATCCACGGATCTACTGAGCGCCGAACGCACGAAATCGGTTAACAGTAAGTCATTTTCCTGGACGGTCAGATGGAAACCTGACATACTTTTCGATATGGAGCATACGGAAGCTTAAATTAAGTATAAAGTTTGTGGGACAATAAAGTTAGGGTCATATAGAACTTAAATCTAATGGATTCATTGTATCTGGTTGATTAAACTTAGAAAATTAATAATTAAGGAGTCAGTAGTAAGTCAATGAAGCATTATTAGGATGATGGCCATTTGGGTCGATAGGTAACTGGTAACAGCTAAAGCTAGATAGTTAATAGATTTTGTTCTTACAACAAAGGTGGACACAGTAATTATTGAAGAGGATATCCACTATTTGAACAAGTAATCTAAATAATAGTTGAGGAGCATGTGCAACCTGGTCAATATAGATTAATAAATTATTGGCATTCGGCAAAAGATATAAGAATATACTCGCTTTAGTTCTTCAATAACAAATCCATTCAAAAAACAAGTGAGACCCTTAAGGGTTGAAATATTTGTATTCCATGACGTGAAAGCAGAACTTCACTAGGTCGATTAATAGGATTTACGACAGTGTTACTGAGGGATTTACTAAAGTAGGTCAATACACTGAAGGTTTTTAAACGAGATATTACTTGTTTGGTCGGAATTTACTGAGAACTGTTATTTGCGTCGACTACGTCGTATGATATCTGTCAATGCTGCTTGATCTCGCTTCCTCTAAAACTTAATTACTATTGTTCGATTTCTAGGTAAATTGTTTCCTTCCAAAAGACTGGGAAAACTTTTTAAAACTCCATGAGTGACAAACAAGTACTGTTCCATATGAGTTTCAGGAAGGGTCTACACTAATGCCAAATCTATATGCAGCTGAGTGCCATGACCAATTTAATTATCTTAGCAGTCGCATCGCACTGTTGGGTGACGAAACCTTGGCAAATAGACCCGCTTGATTAAGGACACGTCACATTAATTACAAAGAAAATTGAACTCAACACAGGTGCATCAGGCCGTTCTTAATTAATTTATCACTGTAAATACAATCTCTGAAACTAAAGGGTAGGTAGAGATTACAAACCTATCGAGGTTTTGATAACACAGAGAGCGAGGTGATAAGCACATGGTTAAATCATACCCGGTTATCGCTTGCATTGACGTGTTATTGTGTCAAGAATAGGTCAGGAAGTTTGGAGGTGGCCAAATGTGACGAGTCAATGGGGCATCAAACTGCTGTTGTGAAAAAAAATCGGGTTTTCTGGATGAGGTTGGTACTTTAATTATCATGTGTTTTATCGACTATAAAGTGAAAGACAGACATTTATTTTCCGGATAGTTTTCCTACATTGCTACACTACTTCTCGCTGGACTGATAATGGTCCGCCGCATTCCATATTGCTGTCTCTTTGTCCTGCTGATAAACACCATTTCACTGCAGACCGGTACATGATTTTGCTGTAGCAAATGTTGTCACATAATCGAGCATTAAGTGAGTTGGTACCGAATTCTAATGACTGTGAAACTAATAATGCCGGGATGACTGGTCCCCAAGCATACTAAGTTTCAATTATTTAATGCAAGACGTAGAAAAGCCTGTCAATATGCTTTATTCGCACGTTTTATAATCTGTAAAGCCTGAAACCTATCTTTTTAATGTCGTCAGGCAAAAACCATGTGAACTTCGACAATTTTATCTAGTCATTGTTATAAGTACTTTGCTATCTTATGGTAAACTGGAGCAATAAATAAGACATTAAATAGAATTATAATATTTACATTCAGCCGGGAGTGCATCAAGGAAAATTTGAGCTAAATCACTGTCATCATATGATAGGTCAAAATGACTGATTTGACAACTAAAAGACTGAACAACAGCATTATACAGATATGAACCCTATTCCAGCATGGTTTTCTAATTCATCTATAGGAGCAGATACTGAGACTTTATGGTTAAAAACGTCACTTTACAAAGCTTTCCTTGAAGCTAGTTTTTATTGACGTTTCGAACTACTCTCTCGTACTAAGGTGTTTTAAGCTACTTAGAAGCTTGAGAGGGAAAACTAAAATGATGAAAAGCTTTAGTTCAGTGATATGTTAATTGAGGCTTCTTGACAACACACTATAGCTGTCGAAACGTTATATAAAGAGAAGCATTTATCTTTAAAGTGAAATTGCCCTTGAGAAAACGCCTTGCCAATTACTTTAAACTTTATATACAAACAGCCCCAGGCACATAAACTTACCTGTAGCCGTCCATCCAATGAACGCGGTATTGTAACACAGCGTGTAGATGGATCTTGGCTAACTAAAGCGCGTTCCAACTCGTCCAATTGCGTCCCGTTTTTTAACCTCTTGACTAATGATTTAACAGCCTTTTCTTTCCACTTTTCTTCTTTGTCTGAACCTTCTTTGATGTAACTTATAAGTCGTTTTACAACTGGAGGTGGACTTGTAAAGAGACTCATAATTTATATTTGTAACTAAAAGACTAGTTCTATCACTTTCAGTGATTATACAACAGTGGTAGTCTATAGAAATTCACGCATGTATCCTGAATTAGATGTTTTGACAAATAATTAATCCCTCGAGACAGACTAAGGTCAAGAGAAGCGCCTTAAGAAAACCGCCCTAGAGTACAAGTAACTTATGATAGGAAAAGTTGTTAGATTTCAAACTTCAAACTAAACTTGACAGAAGTAACGTATTATTAGCCTTTTTGTAACTATAGTTGGGTTTAAGGGGATATTTCACAACTATGCTAAGAAACAATTGATGTTTCAATTCGTTAGAAATTAGAGGGATAAGAGAATAGTTGGAGAAATTCGAACACTTCACTTCTATCTGAAGTTTGTGATGATGATGTCGTTCAGAAGAACGATGAAAGCTTCGCGATCAAACCATCTAACTCAGAGTACAAAACTCCATCAAAATCATCCACCAGAGCTACAAATTTTCTCCACCACCACAATGGTTGGAATAACGATTCAATTGGTCCAGGAAGGAATGGAAGAAGCTTTCACACAATCGGCTTCCGTAGCTAGTGACAGTGGATCACCGATGTTCTCAGATAGGAACCTAGATACATTTAACGACAAAAGAAAAATTATTAGCAAATTATAGCGAGATACTGGATAAGCTGGCAGAGAATTCCAGCATTTGACTGCTCCTTAAGAGTATAAGGTATGCCTAAAGTCTGTTCTGCTATGTTGTGTTCCCAGTTTCTGGGTGTTACTCCTAAGGTTTGCATTGAGACTGAGCTTAGGTAGATATCTAAGGGGATGTCCAGAAGTGTTTATGATGATGTATGTCGTCAGAAAGTCATCTCTTAGACGATTATACTCCAATGGGTAAAGGTTCAGTGATTCTGGGTGCTCTCCATAAGGCTTGAAATTGAGTCCACAAACTAATTTCATGGCTCACCGTTTCATACATTCCAATGTATCCTAATCATTTGGAAGTGGTTGGAAAAACACTGTTTCCACACTTTAAATGGGGTCGGATGAAACTGTTGAAGAAGAATTGGAAATTTCTACCATCCAACGATGCAGGGTATGCTCGAAAGAAATTTTTGTCGCAGTTAGAGTAGGCTCCAGATCACTGGGTATCAACACTCCTGGATCATTTTCATCTTACGATACCTCTAGAGAGGAGTTACCCAAATTGTATTCGTAATCTACAGTGTGTCTCATAAAGACTATCTTACACCTTGGAATGTTAAGCGCAAGCCCTTCTTTTATTATCACCTTTGTGCACTGATTCCTTGCTTGTTTGAACTGCCTACATGAGCTGTTGTCACTAGGTCGCTTGTGTTCCGCCCAGTATTGCCTTTTGCATTTTAGCAATCAAAGAGTCCGATCCATGATGACTGTGGCTTTCATATAATTTTCTGAACTATTTGCGAGACAGACTGTTCTGTAGCACATAAGGCCATGTGCAGTAGGAAGTTACACTGAGCGTCCACATCAAGTTAAGGGTTGGATCCCCAGTCCACCTTCTGTAGGCTGGCCTGTAATGACGACACATCCAAGTGTTTGCAGTTCGAACGCCTGTCGTTAGTAGGATGTTTTAGTTCAGTTTTGTTGATAAAGTTGAAGGCTATGACAGCATGGTCAATTTTACTAAGGAGAGCCAGGATTGTGAGGTTGTCAATTAAGTTATTCTTTTGTAAAAATGCAGTATAAGCGTGACGGGGTCTGGCTATTTCTTGAGCGATTTGCTAACTCCACATTTTAGAATAATCCCAGATCTTTAATAAGGTTGAAGAACTGGGCTTCAGTGTAGTTGTCACCTCGAATGTACATGTGTTCAGAAACGTTTACTTTAACGATAACCCAGAATACGATTATCATACTTGGCATCAACAGTGGGCTCCATACACATGACCCCAACTAGAAACCTCGAGCTGCTAGAGAGTCTTAAAGAGCACTATACAGACTCATCAGGATTAATTAACACTCAAATGTACCCTTGATGTGCTACCAAGCAAGATCATAGATGCAGAGCTGCTCCGCCCTACGTTCCTGTTGTTCTGCCGTCGTGAAACAAAGACATGCTGAGCACTGACAGCTTCTGGTCCACAATTCGAGATGTCCAAGCTTCAGATATCCCTGTTGGATGAATATTATCGGCCCTACTTAGTTCAGGCAACTCATCTATTTTTCTCAGTAAACTCAAATTTTTTACATAGGCATTTCATGCTTTGATATAAAACGCGTGGGCTTCCTTATTTTATGTGAATGAGCAGGCAACCTAGTTGCATATGGATTTCCGAGTTGGTAGCTCCAGTTCCTTCTACGTATCATTTTTGTTCTTGACCGTCCACAAATCGAATAGACAGTGCCAATTTGCTTTTTTACCTGATCCGTGCATCGTGTGGCCTGTCCGGATGCATGTGTATTCCAGTTGATAGCCGACATCTGTTGACAGGAAATGGTTCGGTAGTGATAGCCTCCATTTGTGGGCATGGGAAGATTATCTTTATAAGCTGGTATCTAGAACCTCCATCCTTCTACGCTAATCACACTACATGTTGGTCTGTTATATTCTTGATCTTCAAGGGCTGCCTTGTGAATTTCTACTCTAGAATACCATAGTCTGCACAGTTAGGGCCCGTGTTTTCGGAGAAACCTTACACAATAATAACTCATGCGAAAATAAGCCTTTCGCGAGATTCTCTAGGGATGTTTCTGATGAGATTGAGCTCAGAATTCGGTATACCAGACAGTATTCTTATGTCCTCTACTGAAAAAGCAAGAACACTCAAATGTTTTGGGATGAATTTCAAGTTCAAGTTTGTAGATTTTAGATTCAAATTGTTGTATTGAGCACAGAGAACATACAGAGTATGTTACTTCTTTTATAGTAGCCCCCTGGGAATGTCTAGTCTTCTATTGAATGAGTCGATCAAAGGAACAGGAATTAATTCTTCGATTATCAGATTGCAAGTATTGATTACTTGGTGTGGTAGCTCACATACCACGGGCATTTTGTTTGTTCCTGAATTTTTACTCACCTGGTACGTCTGTGGAATTATGGTCTGGTCAATATTAGTACATTTAGATTTGGTACTGTAATAATAGACGTAAGCTCAAAATTGTAGGTTTATCATGATGTGACTGCAAAATTATGGTCTAGTTCGGTATCAGTACTGTCACAATAATAGACATAATCCCAAAATTGTAGAGTTGTAATGATGTGACTAGTTAATCTGTAAGATCTAACGTGGAAGCCACATAATTGTCCAAACCGTTTTATTCTATCATAACAGTCAGAATTATGAGGCTTGGCACTTCAGAAGAACACATCTAAGTCAGGGATAGATTAACACGTTCGGTATGAAGACGATTACGTTACATAGTGACCCGTCTTGCAAGATGGAGCAATTCCATTTCGACTCATTCTCTCGCGTTCACCGTTCTTTGACATCCATTGTGTTACTCATGTAGTGATAATCGCAGTGATTGTATGTTTTGCTTCAAAGTTCATGCGGTTAGGAACCAACGCCACTATATGCCCTCTGAGTTGCCCTGATAACGTAGGAAGAAGAAGAGACACTACACCAGGTCCCAAATCAGTTCTTATTATTTTACACATCATAATCAGAACATCTTTCATTCTTAGGTAGGACGGAGAATGGGGGCCTAGCTTCTCTTTGTATGGTAGACCGAAAGTGCTGAAGTTGCCGGGGTAGCTGTCTTTTGCACTTTTTCCAGGATATCCAAGTCACATTTGAAACAGGGACTTGCAGCATGGACGCAGTTTTCAAATTTGGGTCTCGTTAAGGTTGTGTATACTGTAGTTAGTATATTAGTATGAAATTTTGGTAAATACCAGTTCATAAGCCCATGGGGTTCTAAACCCATTAGCTGGGACCTCGCGGTAGTAGGCTGCGGTCTTAAGGCCACGTCCCACTGTCACTCCAAGAATCCTATGAGACTGGACTACGAGGACAGACCCTTCTCTGTTGCGCCTATTTACCATTGTATTCACAATACTCATGGAGACACACTTGGCAACGTCCATATTCATCAGTGATTTGCTAAACCAGCGAGTTAGAACGTCCAAGTCTTCCTAATACATTAACTTGTGTTACACTTAAATTAACCTCTCAGACTCGCTTTCATCTTCATTATGCATATATGATTCATACATATTGATATTTGGTTATCCTTTGCACTTAATTGAGACTTTTATAGCATCACTCCAAACTACGACTGTGCAAACACTTAATCTCACGTCATATCTTACTGCAATAATAAGTTATTTTTTCTTAGTTATTTTCTATTCTATTTTTGTCACTAATTTGACGATACATACATAGTCGTTTATTTTTGTTCTGTGTTCGTAAACACGCCTATTAAACTATATGCATATTCCACGTCTCCTTTATATCCATTGCCTTGTTTTCTCTATTTCCCTCTTTAAGGTCAATTCAATATTCTTCTCAATTACACATAATCTGATTTATTATTATTATTCCATTATCATTATTATTTCTTCTCTTTTTCAAATATGGCAAATATAATGCCAACATTATTGAAACTTGTGTATTATTGCATTTTTGAAGAAACCTGAAATGGTTTCTTCACAACACTTATGTACCCATAAGATGCTTGTCGATAATAATAATAATAATAATAATAATAATAATAATAATAATAATAAAGTGCATATGCATCCTTATTTCTTGCCAGATCTTTACATCATAAGAGTACAGTAGAATTGTGGAATCAAATATACTTTGAATTTGTTTGCGTACACTACAAAAAGTAAAGGACCCAGGACTGAGTCTTGTAGTGCCCCACTAATTAATGGTCTCCAGGATGAGCATTTGAAATCTAATCTGACCTTTTTCTACGATGTTTCAAGAAATTCTTTATCAATTTTAGGAGAGGCCCAGCAATTCTTCGATTTTCCAGTTTTAAGGACAGTCTATTCAGAAGAATAGAAGACCATTTAGTGTCTACTAGAAGCAAATCGCCGGTTCTTTGGGGTATGAATATAAAGAAACAAGAAAAAGAGGGGTTTTATGAGGTTAATATAAGATGGTATTTTGAGGTCTCATTGAGATATGTCATAAGTAAATTTTGTAACGTGTGTTCACTAGTATTGATGATATTGCAAGTCATTACTAGACT